GCCTCTTGGGTCAAGGTGTTTGTCGATCCTTTTGCTCAAGCGCTCCATGCTTGCAGCTTGGTTGTCATCAAAATGGCGATCACAGAGTTGGCACTTGCGTTTAGTATCAAGCAAGCGCTTGCATTTTGTATAGTAGTCCACGAGAGCGTCGAAGAGGCTCAGCTCATTCCTGAGCTCTTCTACCTGTGACTCAGTGACCTCGATTTCCTCTTTGTAATCCTCAACGGTAGCATTATCGCGAACGGCAAGAAGAGCACTGACGACCTGCTGTTGGCAAGTAGCCGCCTCCTTGGATTTCTTCTCGTGGGACTCCTTAGAAGTTCTCAACTTGAATTCCACTTTCTGTTGTTTTTGGCGGATTTGTTCACGGCGCTTCTGGGCCTCACTGACAACCTTGCTCTGGTCCTTAATCAATGCCTGAAATTTAGAATCGAGTGTTTCCGGCTGCCAGTCACTACCAAGAATTTTATCGAGCTTCGGCTTCCAGGTGCTTGTCAAGGTATCAAGCTTGCGCTTGCGGTCAGCAAGTTCCTTTTTCCTGTAGTCAAGCTGGGCTCGCTCAGACGCTAGACGAGTGCATTCTACAAGTTCCCGGCCTAGCTTATCGTTCTCGTTCTCGAGCTGATGCAGCTTATCGTTCTCATCAGAGATTTGGCGGTCCCAATCGGCGTTCTCAAAGGTCTTCTGGGCTGTCTGAAATCTACTTTCAAGGTCTTGCATCTGCCCATCAAGTACAGCCTTGGCACCCTCATCCACGTCTATCTGACTTGACTCGTTCTGGAGCACCGAAGTGCGTTTTTCAATAGCGCCCATTCGTTGCTTCGCGGACACGCGGTCTTGTGTGCGAGCAGCTTTACGGCCTTCAAGCTCAGTGATGACGCCAGTGGCCCGGTCGAGCTCAGCGGAGTTGTCTTTCTGCAAGCGCTCCAGGTCCCGTTTCTTCTCGCTCAGAAGTTTTTGAAGTCTGTCATTAAAGGATTTCACATGGTGATTCGATAGATCGCCGTCAAAGCCCGAGAAGCCGTAAGACTGGGCGGCTTCCTGAATGGTTTCCATGCGTATCTTCAATTGACGCTCGTACTTGTCTTTGTCCGATTGGTGTTTGCCCTGTTCGGAAAGCTTGGCAGAAAGATCCTTTCGTGATTTTCCTAATTCGGTCTGCAACTCGTTATACTGTGCTTTGTTCTGGTCGGCCTCATCCTGAAGATGCTGCATACGGTCTTCGTAATGTGCTAGGTCACCCTCGAGCTTTCCGTCATCATCGGGCAATTCGTCGATAGTGGCCTTCAATTCTTTGACAGCCTCTTCTCTATACTCAAGCTGTTCGCGCTTGGTGTTGAGGTTCTGCACAATTGCAAGGTGGCTATTCGCGGTTTCTCGGATGTTTCGGATCTTGTCTTGCGTTTCCTCCATTTCGGAACTGATAGACTCACAAGTTTCTCGAGATCCCTCAATTTCGGCTTGTAGGGCTTTCATCCTCTTCTCGGCCCTGTCACCGCGATCCTTGTTCACCTTGTTATGAGCCTCGTCATTCTGAAGCTTGCCGAGCTGCTCGACCTGTTTCTTTCGGAGGACCTTGAGGTTGTCGATGGCTTTCGTATATTTCATGGCCTCGAATATCTCGTCAAATCGTTTTTTCAAAGCAGCAGGCTCACTCAATGGCCAGAGGGATTCGTCTTGATGGCAGAAAATGACAGCATCAAGAATTGCAGGAGAAACACCGAGACGCTCTGGAATCATTTCATCTAGCTGAGCTTGCCGAGTAGAAGTTGTTGTTCGCTCTCCATTATTGACTACAACTAGGGAGCAGTCTAGGGTTTTCTGAGAGCGGGTGGTCTTCTTGACGGTAAGTTGTAGACTTCGAGTAGCGACATGTTGACGGTCATTGATCGATCGAAATTGGAGTTTGACCTGGGCCATAACCTCCTTCTCACCACAAAGCTACATTATGTTAGCATCAAGATCTGCTTGATCTGCTTCTGAGGAAATGCGCATGTCGGCACCTTTGGATCATGAATGAAAGCGCCGCCCTTGCTGTTAGGCGGCAGCTCGCCGGTCGTGGCATATTTCAGACACTCAATGATCGTTGTCTTTCCCGATCCATTGTAGCCGACAATAAGAGTCAGAGGCGTATTGAACTGGATAGCTTCACGGACTGAGGGGCTGAAGGACCGTACACCCGAGATCGAAAGCTTGTCGATTCTGGACATGGTGACTACTACCTCATCAGGGGAACGCGGTAGCGGCAGTGTCGATTACGTAGACTAGAACATTGACTACTAAGAAAAGCTGCAGTTCACAAGTCACAACAACGTCGAGGCCTTGAATAAGGTAGACAACAAGTGTCGCTCGTTAGCGTGGATCGGGCAGCTGAAGTCAAATTGGCGGGTAACGCGACGTGAGATACGAAGACGCGTTAAGAGGTTCGAAAGCTAGGAACAGTCGATGCGTAAGCACGTGGTTGGCTGGTTTAGCCGGAGTTCTCGCGACTTCACTGTGAAGAGATGGAAGATGGAAAGTACCATGATCCGATCCAAATCTTAGTAGGTAACACCCATCCTGCCTGCCGACATGACTTGTTCACTAATCATTTATCCAAAAATGGCCAGTTTTGAAAAGCTATTTGAGCTCAACAATATATACACTCCAGCATTGTTTCGACGTTTGCGAAAGTGTTTCATTTTTTTCATTCTCTCATTGGCAAGTACAAATTTGTGACGTTTCATCAATTGACGAGATCGACTACAAGATTACGTCTTTTCAACGTCAGCAGATCATCAAGTGGCAAGTCTCCAGAGACCCCTAAAATCAAGACCTCCAAAATCCCTGGGCCAAAACACAAGCCAAACCCACACCAGTCCTGGCGCCACTCCGCTTCGGGTCTGTACGATGTAGACCCGAGACCCCTTACATCTGGAGCGACATTGCTTGATGAATTTTCCTGAGAGCCTAATAAGGGCCTCGAAGGGTCTAGAGAGTTGCAGAAGCAACGAAATACAGACATTTTAGTAGAAGACAAGAAAATTTAGGGTCCCTGTTCTAAGGTGACAGAAATATATAGGTAAGTTTAGTATATTTTGGTTGGTCTTTAGACCAGTTAATCTTGGCACCCTAGGTTCATGTCAGAGGTTTTCTTGTATCCTTGGGCACTTAAGCAGTTCAATAGCGTATTATTTTTAATTTTTTTTTTGTTGTTTTGGTGATAGTAGTTGTGCCATGACAGTGACATATCTCTGTTTTCCTTGCATGAAAAACTGAGAAAACAGCAGACTTTAGATGAGGCGACAAATTTGGGAAGGATTTGCTTACGAGGATCGGCTGACGAGACCTGCAGACGTGCAGCCTGCTATGTGGTTTTGAACAAGACATGGCATTTTTCTCTTCGCCTCTTGGGCATCTCTTGTTCCCCGATGCCATTTTCTTTCCCGATATCTCGATCACAAATCTCTCCAACAAAACCCCGTAGCTGCCCCGCGATGATCCCCCTGAATGTCAAACTGATTAGACATCATGAATGCCCACGAGAATCGATATTTCTCCTTCGAGGCGCCTCGAATGAGAAGCGACAAATATTGGTCAGCCACTGTGGATGGTGACCTACCTTGACGCTTGGCTTGCGCTACTGCCGCTGGACCCTTTACGCTGGATCCCGCTAAGGCGATCCAAGGGTGCGCTAAAACGGACTACGCCGATGCAGTCAACCAATAGATCCGGCTGGAGAAACTCCTGTGAGAAACCAGCCCGCTTTTGCCGGGGCATAACCTCCGGAACACAGGCTTAATTGTTGGACAAGTTCCCACGAGGCTAAAGACAAGAACAGGGGGTGTTGCCGAGCAGTGCAGATTGGGCCCCCGGACACAAGAGGTGGCGTTTCATGCCCCGTTCAATCCAAGGCAGCCCAAATTCCCATGTGTGAAAGAATCCAATTCTCCAAAAGTGCCATGTTTTACAGTGGCTAACTCCCTGATAGTCCCTGGCCACACCTGCTTTGCTGAGCTGCCCAGTCTGCCATGGCAGTCTATGGACTGATTGAGAGGGACACACACACCACAAGCCTGTTTGCTGCCCTGTCATCAGACCCAAGCAAGGGGAAACAATTAAAAGTCGCTCTCAACCTCTGTCTCTGCTGTGAACCTAAGGATCTGCACCTTTCAAAGCGACCCTGAGCCTCGCCTTGACTCAGAAAGCGGGCCATTCTTTGTTATCCAAAGACGCTACTATAAACCATGGTGTAGGTAGGTGACATGACAGATGGATATGTGCTTGCTGATATCTCTTCTCATCTTGCCCCGTCACGGCAAGTTCATCTAAAACCTTTCACAATCTTGCCTCTCACATGTCCTAAACCTTCTTGCTATACCAGGCGTCCCATCTCTCTGAGTTCTGTCAGACAGGTAACTCCAATCTGTGCCCGTGCCCACGCAACATCTCTCATGCCCTGTTCTCTTTCAAGCCCCTTCAGCGCTGCCTCTTCATTTGATTTCATCACGCCAACGGCATTTTCAATTTGTGTTGTTGTTTCTAACACTTTGTAGGCGGCTAATAGGGACCCCTTCAACTTCTTTACCACTTTGTTCCTGGCCGGTTACTCGATGCTCTTTGCTGTTCATTATCTCACTGGATATTAGAGAGGGGAAGCTCGACATCCATTTCTACGTTTCGAGTTAGATGTTGAGCTCAAGAATTTGCCATCGCCCTACCCAAAAACAAAATTGAAGGATAAAACGCACCGATACGACTCCAGAATACCTTATTACCACCAGGGTATATCTTTTCGTTTTTTTCCCCCAGAATTTCTCATGGTACTCAAGCCATCGAAACAATATTTCCAATTGGACAACTCATCCCAGCTCTTATCGCTACCGCTGTCGCATCCACTGAGTCGAGCGCTGAAGAGACCACCAAGGGCAACGCCCAAGGCCACTGGAATTGCCCTTTCCGGGTTCTCGCCCATGCAGCTTTGAGTACTCGACTGCCACATGAATGAATGCGCCGCAACCATGTCCCACGGACCACCTCCACCACCACCTCCGCCCCAGGGCACCCCTCATCCGAACAACTTCAACAATTTCTACGGTTTCAACGTCGATATTGGTTCTCTCCCCGACATGACGGGTGGCCAGGTCAATTACCACTCCCCTCCCCGCGACGCCGACGCCGACGCCGGGGCTGCGGCCCTATCTATAGTGCCCCCCCAATCGGCCAAGGCCAACGCAACCTTGATCTTCGATCATTTCGGCTAACCCGATTTTGTAGATGGGCGCTGATGGTCAGGACAACGATCTTATGGCCATACTCGATAATAGTATGCTCGGTAGCATAACAGACATTCCAATGAACCTCGAATCCGCAGATGACTCAAACATGAGCGGCTCTTTTGGCAATGGGCAATCGACCACTGAAGAGTCTGTCGCGAGAGCTGAAAATCAATTCAACACAGCAGCCAACAATGTTCCTGGCGCCGGGCCCCTCCCCGCTGGCGCCTTTGCTCAGATGAATCTCGCTGGCGCCAGCACGCTCACTGAGTTCACCAAGCGAAGAAATTGGCCCGCCAAGGTCGTGGAAGAGCTCAGAGACTTTTTACAGATTCTCGATGCCAACGGTCGCATCAAGTACGCATCACCTAGCATTCTCCAGGTCACTGGATACAGTGTAGAAGAGATCCAAGATGTGTTTCTGAAAGACCTGATCCACCCAGATGACCAAGGTGTTTTTGTCGCAGAACTCAACGAATCCATCGCATCAGGCAACCCGCTACGACTTTTTTACCGTTTCAAAAAGAAGGACGCTGAGTACGCAATATTTGAAACTGTCGGCCATGCTCACATTGCTGGCGCCAAGTTTGCCCCCAATCCAAATAACCAGTCGCCCTTCTGCCAGGCCGTGTTCATGATGGCGCGACCATATCCCACCAAAAACGCTGGACTTTTAGACTCGTTCCTTGAGCATAAGATCGAAAATGAAAGACTAAAGCGCCGTATCGCCGAGCTACGCCGTGAAGAGGAGGCCGAAAATGACGAGGCGCAAAAGCAGTGGCTGCAGAGTCAATCGGGTTGGTCAGACATGACACCATCAGAGGGAACCGGTGTCTCTTCGGGAACCTTTTACCGTCCGGGTAGCGAAAGAGGAATGACAGAGGCCGATCGAGCAGCTCTCAATAAAGCTCTTACACGCGAGAATCTCGAAGGCTCAGTCGCAGGCGGTCGGCAGGATTCGCTGAAGGATAAGATGGCTCGTTACGAAGGAGCATCGCACACAGACACGATTGAGATGTTGACGGGATTGCGATACATTGAGGGCGAACGAAGCCGGGGAATTACGACCGGTAATGCTAGCCCGACCCTGATCAAGGGCGATGCAGGAATTGCCATTCCGATGGAGCGGGACCCTCGAACCGGCGATAAAAAGAAGAAGCTCAAGACTTCTGAGGAATATGTGTGTACGGACTGTGGTAAGTGATTTTTGTTGCCGTAAGTGGCCTGCTTCAACAATACTAATATAACACAGGCACCCTGGATTCACCGGAATGGAGAAAGGGACCCCAAGGACCGAAGACACTATGCAACGCGTGCGGTTTACGTTGGGCCAAGAGGGAGAAGAAGAGAACCAGCACCAGCCATCCTCCTACGGTGGATCAATCTGTATGATCACGAGGCAACGAAATGGCTTCCAAGGATTTATCGATCTACCGGCCTGTAAGGTACATGACACGACCGAAACGAGGGCAGCAAGTAGCAGTGTTTGCCACGATACAAGACGAGCTGGCTAGAGACACGGTGCCTGGGGCACGATGGAGTTTGGGTTGAAATTGCTGATTTGGATGGCGAAAAGCGGGATACACGAGACGCTCACAGCCGGTTGTTTATTTGATTACTTTCTTTTTGCAAACTCACGACTGAACTGGATAGTTGATTTGTCACGACTGGGACTACAACACAGATACCTGGAGCGTAGGGAGCATTTGGGCAGACATAGCTGACGTGCGCGCCCTTGATGCGCCACGAATATGAATTGACGCATTGTTTGTAGTGACTGTCGTGACTAAAAGATGCAACGACATGAAAACCCATTTCCCTCTGGCTGTAGTCCCTAACTTGCCTTATTCAGTGTCGTTCGGTACAGTCAGTCAGGGTCTTGTTTCCATACGTGACGATGTATGTAGCTGAGCTGAAGCTATGATCCACGGCAGCTGAAATAAGCAATAGCTAATGCTACAGGTCCCACTACAGACCGAATGGGTTGCGTAGGTCGTGACAAGCTCCCCATAATTATGAGGGGAGCTGTAGCTTGTACAGCTGGGTCCACGTCAGACACTTCGAGGGCAATCGCAGCAAAGTATTGGATGGATAATACGGCATAAGGCACCTAACACACGGTGATACACTCTGGTAGAGGGTCAAGTAACAGTAGATGCCTTGTTAATTGAGCCGATTGGACGTCTGTTCTCCGAGCTCAAGGCACACACCCGACAGCACCTGAGACTTGGACCCCTCCCTATTTCAACTCAATCCTTTGCATCAACCTCTCTCTCATATACACTTCCCTCTCGAAACTAAACATCTTTCAATACAAACCCATTCTACATCCTCTCAAACTACAATCGCAATCATGGATAAACTCATCAACGCCGCCAAGGACTATCTTGATGACGACAAGGACAAGCGTCAAGGTATGTTAATTTCTACGTCCTCTTATTACCCCGCCAGAATCCATGATGCCCCTCATACGACCTCAGAGCGTCGAAGGGGGGTTTAAAGCAACAGTTAGCCGTTGTTTTACAGATCTCGACATTTCAACCATTACTCAAACTTCGGATGGCTTCAGCTAATTGATATTCTTTCTAGGACACCAGCAGCAAGGGCACGGACACCAGCAGGGCTACGGAGGCCAAGACCAGGGCTATGGCCAACAGCAAGGCTATGGACAACAAGAAGGCCAGTATGGCCAGCAACAGCAGTACCCTCCTTCTGGTGGCATCCGTCAGTTATTAACACAGGCTTCCACTCGAGCGAGCGAATCTAACAATACACAGAGTCTCAGGGTGGCGGTGGCTTTTCCAGCTTCCTTGGTGGAAACGTCGACTTTGATAATGCCAAGGAGGAAGCCCATCAGAAAGCGGGATCTTCTGGTGACAAGGACCTCTTTGGAAGTATTCTAGGATCTCTGGGACAGAAACAGAACAAGCTTGCTGACGAGGACCTTGATGAGGAGGGTAAGTAATAGATTTCTGTCCGATGAGCAAGACACACACTGATGACAGATGACCATCAGATGCCATCAAGCAGCACAAGAACACCTATAACGACGACGACTCCCAGCAAGATAGCAAGAGTCTGGGTACCGCTGCTGCTATGCAAGCTCTCAAGATGTTTACCCAGGGCCAGGGCCAAAGCAGCACTGGTGCCAACAGTCAGACAGCGTTCTTGGGACTTGCCTTGGCCGAGGCCAGTAAGGTTAGTTTTGATGTACAGCACACGTATAAGTCAACGTCTAATATGAATTTATAGCTCTTTGACAACAAGGCCGCATCAGGCAAGGTATCTGAGGGCACGAGCAAGGAGAGCGTCATCCAGCAGGCTGGCGAAGTCGCTTTTAAGATGTACCTCAAGAACCAGGCCGGTGCTGGTGGACAGCAGGGCGGTGCTTCTGGTCTTATGAGTCTTGCCTCTAAGTTCCTGGCTAAATAAGCCCAATAGTTGCTACGACAAGTAGTCATAAGGGGGTGGGCGCTAAGCAACACCCTTGATCACCACATGCTAAATAACAATTAAAAGACTCCATGTTCCATTTTCATTTTGCGATGTAAGCGAAAAACAGCGAATCATCATCTTAATACAACGGGTTTATGCCTTCTGCTTAGCCAGATCCGCAACATCCAACCACTCATCAGGTCGACGGCGGCCAGACTCTGTAGCGTTATGCAGATATTCTTCTGTCTCTGCTGCCCAAGCTAGGAGCTGCTCCTCGCTACCCCATTCTCCTGTAGCCATCAAGCCAATAGAGAGCTTACCCTCACCCTGATCCGGATCTACGTATCCCACAGGAGCTGAAACCGCAGGTGTGCCGGTCAAGTTGGCCAAAAAGACGTAGAGCATGTTTCGAATAGTCGTGTTGGTATCACTCATGCCGTAGGCCTGGTCACCGGGGACAATAGGCCATCCGATCAGGGGACTTGTAGGTGTCATGATTAGAAGGCCAGGGTGTTTCTGGAATAAGTAGGCGAGATGTTGCATGATGAGCTCTCGTAAAGCGCCATATTTGAGCATATCAGCTGCAGGAGTCCTGGTACCGACAGACATCACGACTTTGTTAGCGGGCCCTACCAGAGAGAGCCAGTCAGCGGGATTGGGAGTTCGTCGGCGGGCTGACTCGGCCATTTCAGTGATACAGACAACACTGTGTGCAAGTTGCGCCTCGGGGATGTATGGGATAGTGATGTCGATGATCTCATAACCGCACTTGTTGGCGAGGTAATTGACCGCCCTGTCACAGACCTCCTTGACACGGGAGTCAGCCTTGTTCCACCAGTCACGGTAGATTCCCATGACCTTCTTCTGGCCCTTCGGCGGCGGGTCAGAGCGAGCAAAGCGGCTTTGGATTTGACAATCTGGGTTTGGCTGGGACATAACGCGGTAGGCAATAGTCAGGTCTGATACAGTAGCGGCAATAGGACCGGTGATACACATGGTGTTATTCATAAACATAGTTCTGTTATGTGTGGTCTTGAGTCCGTAGACGCCATTGAAAGTGGGAGGGATGCGGATACTGCCTCCCGCGTCAGTGCCAACGGCGATAGGGACAACACCAGCTGAGACAGTGGATGCGCCTCCTGAGGAGGAACCGCCTGGATAGTAGGATTTGTTGAGCCAGTTAGTGGGTGTTCCTTGTGCAGCCTGGATTTGTCAGTGGTGTCTTGTACAAGGGGGCCTATGCGTACATTGCATCCGCTGGTGTCTGATCAAGGTCAGTAATTGCAGTAGAAAGACCTTGTATATGGACTTACCGGAGCCAAGCTCATGCATTGCATTCTTTCCAATGACTACAGCACCAGCTTCCTGGAGTTTCTTTACTGGCCACGACGATTCTTTCTGCTCCTTGAAGGTTTCAATGGAGGGGTCATATTTCATCCCAATGTGGTTATGAAAACCCTTAGCATCAGTATCATCCTTGACACCAATAGGTACGCCGTCCAATACACCCAGTGGCTTGCCAGCGGCATAACGCTCGGTTGATGCTTTGGCAGCCTCGAGGACTAGGTGATCTTTGCCGTGGTTATCAACCCAACCATCAGAATACTTTCCATCTGGTCTGGAGATTTGGGGGAGGAGAGCTTCAGCGACTTGAAGAGGTGTCACTTGACCTGACTTGTACATCTCATGGTAGTCACTAGCCGTGTAGTAGCGTGCTTTGGAATCTGCATACTGGGACTTGAGAAGCGTGGGTTCAAAGTCAAGCATAGGCTCTGTAGGGCCCAGGGGAGTTACGGTAGGCTGAGGATGTTAGCTATGTGGGATTTGGTATGAAGTAATGACCGTTTACATGAAACCTGTAGGGAACATCATCGAGAGCAGGAATATCTTTGATAGTGCCAAAGTGGGCATTGTCCCAGAAATATTGCTGAAGGAACCCAACTTTGGCGATGCTACAAGACTTTAGCTTTGGTAAGGATATGAGTCACAGGATATAAAACTCACAGATTAGCACCAATTACGAGAGGAATGCCTCGAAATGTAGGGTTGTTTTCGACTGTGGGATTGTATGTAGCTGCTGGAGCCTCAACAGGCTTGGGATAGTCGGCAAAGTCGGAGGGGGCCATGGTGGAAGATCCGGGCCCGCGATTGTGTTAGTCTGAGGAAAGATTCTGGGGTAAGGAGGCCCGTAGCGTTTATATAAATGGCAGAAGCAGAAGGACAAAGAGTTATGCCCCAATAGAGCAGGTCTGGAGATAAATAAGAGGTTCAACTCTTTCCTAAGCTAAGCTGAGCTTAGGCTGCATCTGCTGTTTACGACCCCTAGAACGCCAACCTAGGCTACCCCACACGAGGTTCATGAATAAGATGCCATTTGCCGAGGCTCGTAAAAGATCGATCATGAAGAGAAACTAGAGAAAGTATTCAGGAACAATCTATATTTGCATGGAGCAGTCGATTTTTCGATACGGAAAGACCAATCACACTAACTCAAGCGGAATTCAATTCATTGGACCGCGTTTCGTCCGTCACTTGGATGAGACGCCATCACAAGCGATACAGCGTCCATTGTTTAGAGTAACTAATCCTTGCACATTGAACACACAAGCATTTACGCGTCTGACGCAGAATTCATATAGACCAAAGGGACGGGTCGGTCAAATAAGACCAACAACGAATCAATTGAATGAATGATTGAAACAATAAAGTCCTCAGGCAAGATGAGCAGCATCTAAAGACCATGTGGTTGCCTTACGTCATCCCAAACTACCTCACTAGGTCCCTCCCTTTAGTGCGTTTAGTGCCCCGCGTCACAGCATCGCATCACATGGCATCTTTGTCACTCCTCACTCGATAAGCTAAGACTCCAACAGCAACAGACACCGTGACCGTGGCCGTGACCGTTTTCTTTTGATTTGATCTCATAACTCTCCATGGCCTTGCTTTCTAAATCTTTCTCCTAACAAAAGACTCGTCCATGGTCAGCAACATACAGTCTACAAAGCTCTCCTAGGAGCTCAGCTCTTACAGCTCAACCCCTCCAGGGATAGCTTCGCGATAAGCTACCTAGTATCTACAATAACATCGCCATCAACATGTCACTCTTTACCGCGCAGCTTTATCCTGGCCGAGCACTAGGCTTCCTAGGTATGGTAACAACATCAGAAGACTTGGTAACATCTATTGACGTATTTGCAGTCCTCGGCGCAACTCTTCACGATGTGCTTACCCGTCTTAAAGCTGAACCCCAACGCTTCCCGAAGATCGAGCTACTGTACTCCCCTGACCAACCTGTCACCGAACCCGTCGGCGTCGAACTCCCTGGGAATGGTATACGATTAAGATTTGACGGCCCCGAACAGCGTCTGCGTCTTGTCGAGGTTACCGACTTTACCAAGAATCACATTACCTTCAAAGAGCGAGATCTTGTAAAACCATCTGCTGGTACCCCTGGGTCTCCTTCACCAGGCGACTCGACTTCAGGTCCGACTTTCCGACACATATACCATAAACTCCTCGGCCCTACGTACGCCGGTGAATTTATTCCGCCATCTAGTGGACACGATAATGGCATCTATGTCCTGTCCTATCCTGGTGTTGCCTTTAACTTTCCACTTAATCCTTCCGAGTATTCGCCCGAGAAAGACGTAGTGTCGACGTTCGCATCGGCATCTAGTCAAGTCGCAACCTCGATGGCTATCTTTAGTGGTGATTCCTGGGCTGATGCTAGACCGACTCTTTGGACTGAGATTTTGCCCAGCATCAAGTCAACCACCGTGGTTCCTCGAGGTAAAGATGTCTATCCCGACGAAATTTCGCTTGTTCGATTACATGGAGCTGGAAAGATTCAGCTTTTCAGGAAATGGACCAGCAACTCTTTCTGGATCACCCTTGGCGAGACCACACCTCAAGATCTCCTCATGGAGTTGGGGCCTCCCAATGCCATTTATCGCAAGAATGATCAGAAAATGGTTATTCATAAGATGCGTACCGCAAGCAACGCCAAAGGTCGTCCAGATGCTGCTGATATAAGCCGACCTGAAGATCTCACCGATACAGATCAGTCTTCCATGCACGAGGGGTCTGATGCGTCCGACAATGAAGAAGCCGTCGATGATCAGATCGGTCTTAACACAAACGGCGAATGCTTTTATAATTATTTCTATCTTGGGTTCGACATATTAATATCGACTCGTGTACCCCCGTCACAAGCTCCTCCTGGTAGCTTAGGCAGTGAAGCAGGGGATCAGAACGGCATCATATCCCATTCTCCCGATCGATTAGTAGCCACAAAGCTGGTGCTACATGGTAACATACCTGGCTCATACGAATTCAATCGTCATCGCCGTTGTCGCTGGGAAATTGCTTACCTGGACTCTCTAAATGATGGCAACGGACCGACAGATTCGGAAACGTCTTTCCCACAAATAGAGGACCGTATGAATGCTGCATGGGCATCTGCATTCCCACGAAATGAATCTCAGCAAAGACAACGCGGCATGGTTCTTAATCGTGGCTGGGGCGATAGTCCAGGCAGTAGTTGTGAGTTCTTGGGAGGGTGGGAGGAGAGCGGCGCAAGGAGAGCAGAAACAAACGGTGATTCCACGACCACGCTGTATGGATTCCCAGGGCTGGTATTTGAAGTTTTGAAGAATGGGCATGTCAACACTGTCACAGTGTTTTGATCTAGGGCGTCACATATGGATCTTGTTTGGGGGAGTTAGTATATGGTGTTTGGGAAGAGTCGATATGATGGCTCATTTTCGTTTGCTTCGATACCTTTGTGCATATGATCTTAGATTTCCTGTGAATTTGTATTGGCCGGTTGTTATTCTTGTATTGTTCTTGCTACGTTACCATTGTCTTGCAATTTGATGAACGAGGCACGAGATGCGGGAAAGTGCATCAAGAGAGGTAAGAGCTTCCACAACTACATTGCTCAGTGCACTGCCTTTATTCACTGCCAACCTCGACTCTTTGCACTCTCGCTTCCCATCGCCAGTTTATATACATTTCTACAGCAAAAATTTCTCTTCTTCGTTCGCAACCAAGAAATCACCATGTCGCCAACAGAAAAGGAAAACACTACAGAGCCGGTGGACAAAGAAGTCATCCACAAGTTAATCAACGAGCTCGAGGGCAAACTCGAAGCTCTGTACACCCTCAGCGAAGAGGTCAACAGGGGTATTCTCGAGAGCAAAGATGCGCTCGAAAGCCTCCGCGAGAAGCGCGTCAAGCTTATTAGAACGCGATTGGACCAGATCTTCCAGCAGTGGAATATCGGTTCTCTGACTAGCAACCATCAACCGTATGTTACCCTTGACCTCTGCGAATCCGATGCTGAGTGCGGTTTTTAGTTCAACCCAGAATCAGGGTCCGAATCAGAGTCAAAATCCGGGTCTCGGCCCTGTTCAAGGATCGAGCCCGGCGCCGACTCAAGCTGGGATCAACCAACAAGGGCAGTTCGGTTTGCCATGGTAGATACTAGATTGGTCGGTATGTGAACCATTTATCTTTTGTGACACAATAACGAGGCTCTTGCTAATGTTGAATTGAAGGAAACTCAGTCAACAAACTTTCTAGTAAGAAGATGGTGGATCAGACTATGAGCCAGTGAGCCAGTATATTGCGTTATAGCATAGAAGAAATAGGCCATTATCAGCCTTATATAAATCACACTCCGAGATCACGCGATACTTATCGATATTCCCGTAGTATAGGGCCCTGAAGTGTGTGTATGTTGTACTCCTATATTTCATCCGCTGTAAGTTGGTCTTTCACGGTGCCCCAAGTAACTGGAAAGGCACAGCTATTGAAAGATCCCCGCGAGCAAGGCCATAGCCTCAGTATTCAAGTTATGGTGTTATGCTGCTGTCAGTATGATCATTTATTGCTCTGGATCAACTGAGGTGTGTATGTTTTCGGGCATCTTAGATAGGATCTGGGGGAAGAAGGAATTTCTCGATATCCTTACAAGTCTGACTCAAGTCTTATATAAAGATTGACTCACAATATAGTTATGCAGGCAGCCCGTGTTATCCAGGAGCTGACTGCAATAAACCCCTAATAAGTAATATGAGCCCAAGGTAATTGCAGGCAACTATATTGATTTGAAAGTAAAGTGTGGCCGCCGAAGGTCATAGGGCCTTTAGCACTTTGAAAGCAATACAAGAAGAGAGAGTACATTTTCGAGTGCAACATATGACTAACAACTACATCAACTGCTAAGAATCAATAATGCACCATCTTTATAAATCGCAAGGGTGAACTTTGTCAAGGTTTCTGCTAAACTGATCTTATACACAAGCTTTTGCAAAGACGAGTCTCTGTGACTGCCGTTCAAGCCATCTATTCCTACATCGTACACGCTACACCAGGTATCATCATGCTCCTTTTCCTCCTATCCGTTCCCATATCATGCGTAGTCATTAATCTCTACCATTCGTCGACCTCTCCCTTCTTGGGTTTTTGTACCCGCACAACCTTGTCACAGTTGAGCAAACATAGAGGATCGAAGGCCTTCTTGATCTGCAATGACTGTTAGCAAGCTGCTCATTTCAATATATGGGCAATATTTCTTACCTGTCGCATAGCGTCAACTGTAGACTCGCCAAGCTCATGAGGGAGATAATCCCGCTTGACAAGTCCAACACCGTGCTCACCCGTCACGGTACCCTCCATCTCAACAGCCTTCTTGACCATGCGATGCACAACAGCCTCGGCCTTTGCACGCTGAGCATCGTTGTACAGCAGAATGGTGTGGAAGTTGCCGTCACCGACATGTCCTACGATAGAAGCAAACAGGCCACTCTTTGCCATATCCTCTTTGGTCTCCTCGATCAGATCTGGTAGCTTGCTCATGGGTACAGCAACATCACCTGTCCACACGTGGTCACCGGGCTTCTTGACAGCTGTGGTACTCCAGAGAGCCTCTTTCCGTGCACTCCACAGCTCGTCCTGCTCTTCTTGGCTCTTAGCAAACTCAAAGGTCTTGCTGCCAGCCTGCTTAGCGAGCCCCTGCACTTGGGCAACCTGCTCCTTGACACCGGCAGGAGTTCCAGCGAACTTGAAAAAGAGTGTTGCTGCCTCTGTCCAAGCTCGCGATGTCATGCCCGCATCGTTGATGCACTTCATCTGGTTGTCGTCGAGAATCTCGACAGCAGCAACGGGGATGCCCTGGGCCACGACCTTGCTCACACAAGTAGCAGCATGACGGATCGAGGGGAAACTGCAGACAGCGACGCTGGTAGACTCAGGCTTGACGGTAACCTTGAGAGTAGCCTCAGTCACGAGGCCAAGAGTACCCTCAGAACCGATGAACAGCTTGGTGAGATCGTAGCCAGCAGAGCTCTTGCGAGGTCGCTGCCGGGTCTTGATGACAGTACCATCAGCAAGAACGACAGTCAAGCTGAGAACCCACTCGCGCATAGTACCATAGCGATAGGCGTTGGTGCCACTGCACCCAGTGCCAATCATACCTCCAATCATAGCACCAGGGCCAGGGTCGGGAGGGAAGAAGAGACCCTCATGCCCCAGGTGGTCGTTTAGAGCTTCCCAGCCCATCGCAGGCTGGACGACAACATCTAGATCCTCTTTGTGAAGATTGATAATCTTGTTCATACGGCCAAAGTCGATGGAGATGCCCTTGCGGGTAGGTGTAAAGTGACCTTCGAGACTGGTACCGCCGCTGTAACCTGTAACGGGAATTTTGCGCTTATGGCAAACCTTCATAATCTCAGACACCTCTTCAGTGCTTGAAGGATAGACAACGCAAAAGGGACGGTCTTCGGGGCCAGCTTGGTGAGAGGACCAGCTGGATGTAGCATGGTGTTCGAGGTCGTTCTCGGCGGTGCTGACATTTTCTTGGCCGACAATCTTGACAAAGTCGGCCCAGGCAGCCTGCATGTTCTCGAGCTTCGTGTTGTGCTTGGGAGCTTTGGATTTGTTGAGGGGTAGTGTCGACGTAGGCTCGGGGTCTCTTGGCCAATATGTACCAAGCCAGTATGAGATACCGACGCCCGAGAGGAAGACTATCATTTGTTAGATTTTTGGTCTTTAAACGAGTGATTGAGCGTACCAAATGTCACCATCCAGTTCCTTGTAGGGTCTGTCATGTTGCGCCACTCCTCGTACTTCTCTCTCTGCTCCCGCTCACGTCTTAATCGAGATCCAATACTGCCCATGACCTGTCCTTGGAATGTCCTTCCCACCTTTGTCTCGTTACTCTGTCGGGCGGGGGTATTCTTATTCGGCCTTTCAGGCTCGATCTCGGTAGCGTAAGAGCGGGAGAAAGAAGCAGGCAACCTCGTAGTTCGACATCTAGCTGTGGTGGGTGTCCGCAAGCTCCGGAGAGCAGCACGCTGAGCGCGCAATTGAAGAGAAGCCATGACGATGTAGCTTGTGCGCGGGCAGAGGTTGAAAGTCAGTAGCAGGAATAATTAATATGTATAGGTCGTAAAAGGGTGTAGAGGAGCTGGTCGAAGCTGTAGGAGTGTGTCGGGATAAGAATTGGCCGAGGAGGAGACGTCGATGTTGAGCTTAAGTGTTGAAGTCGACGGCAATGGAAAATTGTTAGGACGGAGATGGAATACCGCACTATAATTCCCGACCCCCACACCACGGGGCCTTGTTTCGGACGTCTTCAGGCCCTGGGATCGGCTTCGATTAGATCTGCTACGGCGTGGAGGCTTTTGTCTAATTCTCATTGGTTGTGTTATTCTATTTCCTCTTATACTTGCCTTTTTCGTTATTGTTTCCTCGGTATAATTCAGCAGTCGCGCTGTGCAATGTCCGTCTTCTCAAATCTACGATCCCGATCCGTACCGGCCGGGCGCGGAGCTTCTCACTCAGTATTGGAAGATAGGATCTATCGATGGCTGAATAACTGACCAAAGTGGATGCTCAATGTGATTTCAAGGATCAATATTGACTATAGAGGGGGCACTTTGAAGAGCAATTATCACATCAAAGCACGTCACCGCCGGCCTCGGCCAGTTTCACTATCATGTATTACCAATCCTGTTCCAATGAACCTCGAATCAAGTCTTTATTCTATATTATATGTTCTGAAGCAGTGAATGCTTTCACGTATCCATATAATGAATTACAATAGCCGAGACGTCAGATCTTCGGAGATTGGCCACCGCCGTTGATGAACGTCTCAGCCGCATTCCCCAAAAAATATCGCGGAGACCAAGTCCGCTCTCTCAATGCTTCCATCCCGACGCCCAGAAAACTGTCAAGCCTGCCAATCATGTGCTGTGTATTGTCCCGAAACTCCGTCCGCCCGTTTTATTGTTGTTGTCATTGTTATCATAAGTACCATAGTAGCTCTTCGCATTCAAAGGTACACGAAGTGATCAGATGCTGCCGTGTTGCACAAGCTGAACAGTAAAAGTCGGCGTTCCACTCTGCATATGGTCAAAATAGGCTGCCAACTCATCATCTCCTTGTATCTGAAGGGGTAATTCGTTGCCCTTGGGGTCCTTAATGATGCCCTCGATACGAACGCACATCGCCCCGGGAAACTTGGCAACCGCGACCTGTCGTAGCTCCTGGATTGATTGTGAAGACATTGTAGATATCCACAGGCTGGTATTGGCTGGATATGTCGAAGTAGGGTGCAATCGCATGAATACTGCAAAAGATGATGGCACGGCAGGTACTGAAGGCACAGGCGAGAACATTGTATTGGACGCCGATGCCGAGAATGGGTGCTGCACATATTGCTGCTGCATATAGTTTGCCTGTGGTTGATTCCCTAAGTACATCGATGAGCTGTACTGAGCGTCCATGGGCACGGTGTTGGTAGTGGACGAGCCCAGCATTCTATGGGGTTGGGGTAGGACAGCCTGAGAAGTGGGCATGCCCAGAGCCGGTAATTGTACCTGTCCTGGCCGTTGTGGTGCTGGTGGCTGTCCGGGTGTTGTATAGGCAATACGTGAATCGACTGGCTCATGGACAGGCTCATACCCGTTGTCATCCATGGGCTGGTCTATCATCGGATGCGCAGGTGAACTGGACCCTGGGGCTCCCCTCTCCGACATTCCGAAGGCATGGGGGTTCTCTATCGCTCTTTGGGCTTGTTGTTGATATATGCTTGGTTGGGCCTCGGTGAGTTGCGGGTCCTGAACAGTATCTCGTGGTTTGTCATTCTGAGACTTGCGCTTTGGTGACTCCTTCTGCTTAGGAGCTTTGCCACTCTTGGTGGTCTTGGATCTCTTCTCGTCGCGTCTTCTCTTGATCACATCTCGAGCGACGATCTCGACTGCCTTAACTTTTCGGCGAGATGATTCATCGTTTCCATGAAGGGGGATTGCCCTCATCCGTTCTGACTTCTCGAGCCATCGCTTCTTCAGTTCTTCCCATTGCTCTGGGGTTCCATCAGTTTTACATGTAAACTTTGCATCGCATAGAACTTCATGCAAAGCAGCGCGGATTTCATGAGACTCTTCTGGGTTGAGACCTAGCTCGTTCTTTGCATCGACGAGAGTCATTCTAGTATCCTGGTTGCGTAGACGCTTGGTCACGTCAGTGCAAATAACGTCCAAGGCAAGCTGCTTTCTCTCAAGGTCCTCTTTGGAAAGCCACAGGGCCTGTTGTAGATGTGGGCGCTCATGGATCAGGCGGTTCTTAACATAGTCCCATCTTCCTGGTCCAGCTTGGGTTTTCTTGACGATGGACTCTTCTTGACAGATTCGAGCAAAACACTCGCGAGCCTCTGCATAAGTGGTCGCATCGAGACCGAGGGCTTGTTTGGAATCGTTCAGGGTCATTTCAGATGGGAAACGGACAATGTGTTCTGATTCAGTGAGATGTTGACGATTCCTTCGGCTTTGTCTTTTGCTAATCTTGCGTGGTTTGGGTGTTGTTGGGACAGAGATGGAATCTTCTTGCGTTGAGTTTTCAGGAGCATATATTGTTGGCTGGTCAAGATCTCTGGGTTCTTGGTCAGGCAGTGGAATGGTCACGTCTCTGTCGTCTAGTGAAGTATCATCCTCGAGATTCTCATCATCAGGCTCAGCATCACCACCAGATCTTGCTCGGTCACCATTTCGAACTCTAAGAAGCCATCGATTGCGGGCACGCACTCTCATGAGTTCACGGGAATTGATGTCAAAGCCATCCTCATCAGTAAGGATTCGTAGCATTTCACTTTGAGGGACATTTCTCTTCCATAGCTCATGGACGCGATTCACAAGTCGATCATCCTTGTGTTTTAGTCTTTGTTTTGTAGGAAACTTCCATCGACTAAACTGAACTTGAAAAGCGCGTTTGCTGAAATAGGTCGTGTAAGTCAAGTCGAGAAGAGCGGTCACTTACACTGAGCGAGCACTTACCTCGGCGTGAACTGGTAAACATTCTTCATGTGCACCATGATATCTTCGAGGGACCGACGTTCATTGATATAGAGTTGATAGCACACATCTTTGTGTGGTTCCCATTGATAGACCATGATTCAATACTCGAGACAGCATAGTCTCTCTTGCGTTTGCGTCTTTGGTCAGAACGGCTCAACTAAAACTTGGAGCTTGTGGAGAGACTTTTGCATTGGTGGTTAATCTGGGCTTCCGGAGTTTTTTAGTTTTTTTTGGCTGGTCAACCAAGGATTAGTCATGTGTGTACGGTGTGTCTAGTGGTGAATGCACTGTGCGTGCTAATAATTGCTTGATGATGAACTTGTAATAAGCGATGTTATTTAGATATGATGATTGAATATGCAAAAGGTCCAAATACTGCATGAGTGGCCTCAGTGTACGATTCATGGATTAATATTTAATGAGAAGTAAAAATACTAACAGGATACAACACTTAAAGATAACTTTGAAACCCATTTGTACCTTAACGGCTATATTGGACTTTAGAATAAACACCTTTAGAATAAAGATGTGAGAATGGCCGAGGGCAAAGGTCAAATAGATAGCTTAGAATGATCCCGTTCACATTTTCTAAGTGGAAATGATCCGAATAAATGCTCTTTTTGGTTCTCGTCAAGACAACAGGAGGCGGAATTCAAGCCGCTTGACGATGACACTGACGATCTCGAACTAATAAGGCCAATACACTTTCATGTGATACTGGCATTCACATGCTCTCTCATTATCAATCCTCTTTCATTTATTTTCACATTCTTCTTTACTTACTTGAGAAGCTAGGAACTATATACAACACCGGGGATAATCAAGCGACACTCACTCGACACTTCTGCACTTATTTAGATTGCACCTCGTCTCAACCTTGTAAGTCAAGAGACGCTGTCACCATTCCGCGGCTCAACTGAAGAAGCCCAATCAATTCGTCGCACTCTAAATCAACATCGTCCTGGCCTCAGCTTCACTTCTTCATACCATACTTCGTTTATTACTCACAATACCAAGAATCGCAATGACATCGCCTTCGCTTCCCGACAGCTATGCAACCCTCAACCTCCCAGCCCTACAGCTCTTCCATCATCCCCCCTCTTCCAAAGAAGTGACACATGTCATAGTCATAAAGCTTCACCGTCCTGAAGCCCGTAATGCATTCACCGACACAATGGCGGCTTCGCTCTCCCATGCGCTCAACACACTCTCTGTTGATCCTCGCGTTCGCGCTATAGTTCTCACTTCGTCGGATCCAAAGAATCGCATGTACTGCGCTGGTATGGACTTCAATGAGGAGCACGCGTTGGGCAAAGACGCTGCTGATCATCGCGACTCCGGCGGCATTGTCACTTTACCCATGTATCGATGCAACAAGCCTGTCATCGTCGCCATCAATGGCTCTGCTGTTGGCGTGGGTATCACAATGACTCTCGGCGCCAACATCCGCGTCGTGAGCCGCGATGCCCAGATCGGCTTTGTGTTTGGTCGCCGTGGTTTCAGCATGGAGGCATGCAGCAGTTTCTTCCTCCCACGCCTCATCGGAACCAGCCGTGCACTTCACCTCACCACCACTGGCGCTGTCTACCCTGCCACCCACAAGCTCTTTGACGGTCTCTTCAGCGAGATTGTTGCACCTGAAGACGTTCTTCCCACAGCGCTCAAGATCGCGGATGAGATAGCGGCCAATGTAAGTGGTGTTTCCGCGCGGGTAATGAAGGACATGATCTACAGGGGTGCCTCGTCGCCTGAGGAGGCGCATCTACTTGAGAGCAAGATATTTTGGGACTTGTTCACAGGTAAGGATGCGAAAGAGGGAATGAATAGCTTCTTAGAGAAGAGGAAGCCGGATTTCACGGGAACTATGGACAAGAACGCGCCCAAAATCTACCCTTGGTGGACGCCTGTTGATATTGCCAGGCCAAAGCTGTAGTGATTCACTGCTGGAAACCTGTCTATTGCTGTATTTTATGATCACTTTGATATCTATGCCTCACAAATTGTACTCCCTTTGTTTTGGTGCAAAC